TATGGCTGGAATTAGCCATCGTTTTCGTGGCACGCCACGCTTAATGTGCAATTTAAACTCGAATTTGAAAATATACAATTTTACATTTCGTGTCACGTACCGCTAATTAGCGAGGCATGCGGATGGCGACGAGTAGACGTTTTAAATCGCAATTTTTCTTGTTGTAGAACATGGTTCAATTATCAGACAATTATCAGACAATTATCAGACGAATATCACATCCTATCACATCCTGAAACGGATTACTAATTCCTTCATTCATTCGAGAAGGAATTCGACAGATGAGAACATCAAGTTTAATAATCTAACATATGTATGCGTGCGCGCATGTATTCGCATTTACGTATTCGAAATAAAAGAATAATATCTTATTACGAAATTCGACGAGGAATCGAGAAAAAGTGCTATCGTCGAGGCACGCATGAAATTCCCACGCAAGGTCTATCAAAGAGTATTCTTCCCCACGAATTTTCGTGTCCCGTCGCTAATACATTCGACAAGGATCATCGAGTAATCTTCTCAGGTGAATACGCAATGAAGAAAATCGAATCGACTTCTTCTCTTATATATCTGTAATTAAAATTAGAATCAGAGTCAAGGTGTATCCATGGAAGTTAAGTCAGTATAGCAAAGATTGGATTCGTTCGGTTGCCAAAGAGAGGTGCAAAGCCGAGAAGCCCGACGAGGATATTCGAGAAGGGGCGAGAAGAAGGAGAAGAAGAAGAAGGAGAAAAAGGAGAAGAAGGAGAAGAAGAAGAAGGAGAAGAAGAAGAAGAAGAAGGTAGTTTGGGTATTCGAGAAATATTCGACTCGTCGGCGATCATTGTGGTGACGTCGTGAATTCTTCGAAAAACGAGAGGACAGACCGGCTACGTAGAGGTACATACGAGGCCGAGCCTTCACCTCGATCGCGCGAGGTGTACGCGACGCGCACGTATGTATAGGTAAACGTACGTAGACAGGTACGCGAGCGAAACGATCGGTGAGAGAGGAGAGAAGAGAAGAGAAGAGAAAAAGAAGACAGAAGAAAGAAAAAGAGGGACAAGACGAGACGAGACACGTGGAATCGTGCAAAACGCAGAAGAGAGAACAGGAGGAAGATGAGAAACGGAGAAGGAGAGGATGTGAAAGGGAAGAGAAAAAGAAGGCTGAGAAGGAGGGAAAAGGAGGAGGCGCGAGAGATCGGTAGAGGGGTCATTGGTTGTTCGTTGCGCACTCTCAACGTATGGGAATCGTTATGGACCGACTATAGTCGTTGGAATGCGTCCTTTTTTCCTTTTTCTGTCTCCCCATATACCTGGCGGGCTACTCTCGCTTCGTTGTGGCGACGACGTTGGCGGTGGCGGTGGCGATGGCGGTGGCTGTGGCGGTGGCGGCAACCACCGCG